TTATCTCTCCACCCTTCAATTAATCCCACATGTGTTTATCGGCCAGGTTGGCACAATAAACTAACTACCTCACGTGACGTCCTTCTCCAGGGACGTGTGTCCGAAGTGTGTCATAGGACCAAGTCCTGCCTTTTAGACTTCTCCCAAGAGAGGCTTGCTGGTCCTCCCGCCGGCCCATGGTGTCTGTCGTCAGTGTTCTTCCCCAGCACCACGTTTCAAGTGCACGGCTGCTTCCTTGGCCTCACGTATGCTGCGTCCAGCGTCACGCGCACAGGAAGCAATCAGAAATGCCACGGCTGGTCCGGGTGCACCGCAGTCATCCGTCAGAGAGACCGCATCGCTCTCTAGCACTCCGAAGTGGCCTGTGCTTTCCTCGTGGCCGCCAACGTCCATCACAGGAGGTCCCCAAACCGGTGCCTTCCAGCCACAGAAGACAAAGCAAGATCAGACAGACAGACAAACCCAACTCCGTGCCATCAGATCCATGCCAACCCGTAGCGACCCTGTAGGGGAACAGTCCCTGTGGGTCCCTTCTCCCGTGGACCAGCTGGGTTTGAACTGGTGACCTCGTGACTAGTCCCATAGGCCTTTTTCTGTGTCAGTTGTTTCCCTGTAACAGACTCACTGCTCTCTCTCCACCTTACACCCCCCTGCAAAACAAACACCCTTCTTGTCTCTTGGTCAGGGGTGCTGTTGTCATGTTGGTCTTTCATAGGTCTGTGCCCTGGTGGCACAGTGGTTAAGTGCTGGGCGGCTAACGGTAAGGTCCCTGGTTCACACCCTCCCAGTGGCCCTGTGACAGGGTCCTGGCAGTCTGCTCCCTGGGGCGGTGGGGGGGTGGGGGTGGTCCCCTGTGGCCCTGGGCTCTCCCTGAGTTGGGATGGACGGACGGCACGCACCGCTGACGGTCTATGCTCTCCTCACAGCCCTCAGCACCCCAGGGGGAAGGTTTTCATCAAGTGAGACTGCTGTCTGGTTTAGAGGGGACTGCAGCTAGTGGTTTGGGTTAAAGAGTACGTCAGAGCGAGAGGCCCAGCAGTCCCCCCAGTCTCAGTGGGTCTGGTAAACCCGGAATCTGTAGCCATTGGAGTTCTGCCCCACAGTCACTCACCCTGTAACCAGGGTCTGTCTATGGTCTTGGGAGCCGGCCACCGGCCACTTCTCTCGGCTTATTTCTGGGATTGGACTACAGGACTCAGAGCACCCTCCCTGACCCCACCCTCAGTTGCTCCAGCCCCCAGGGGTCCCCAACCCTTTGGTCACCACGGGGTTGACTTGGGTTTGGGTTCAGCTGTTTGAAGTGTTCCAATGTCTTCTCGTGGACCTTCCGCCGTGTTCCCAGAACTGTCCTTCAGGCAGCAATGGGCACACCCAGCCGTGTGCCTGCCCGTTCCCCTAAGGCAGGGTGTTGGGGGCAGTGAGGAGTCTCTACTTCACGGAACGCCAGTGTGTGGTGGTCTTGGGTGGGTTCAGAGGTAGAGCTCTTGGTAGGGGGCCTATGGAAGGCCAGGTGGTGGTCCAGAAGCCTGAGCGTCACTGTGTTCTGAGGGGCAGGGACGCTGCCCCAGGAGCCACTTCAGCCCGGGAGCGAGTCCACCGAGAGAGCAAGCTGACTTGCCCCCTGCTCAGGTACGAGCTCGGCAGACGGGCAGTGTTGACCCGCCCAGCAGCTCTGTGGGAGAAACACCTGACCACCTTAGTCCCTACAAGTCATAGGGACCCTGCCACATGGGGCATGCGGGTTGGAATGGATCTGAGGGCAACGTAGGGCCTCAACGTAGGGCCTTCATGTCTGGGACACCTCAGGGCCCACCCTGGGGTCCCAGCACAGTCTGGGGTCAGCTGTCCCCAGTTAGGATAGCCCTGGCGCACCTGGTGGAGGCTAGAACTCCCAAGGGATAGGTGGGCAGGTGGGTAGATGGGAGGCTAGCTGCCCCCTGTGCCCTGTGTATCACTAGGCCACACCTCATGTGCACCTGAGAGTCTCCCCCACAGTCCATGTGGTGCAAGCCGTGCCCCCTGTGCCCCCCCCAGGCCACGCCCCACCACGGCGTCTACTCTCGGGAGGAGGAGCTCCTGCGTGAGCGGAAGCGGCTGGGAGTCTTCGGCATCACCTCGTACGACTTCCACAGCGAGAGCGGCCTCTTCCTCTTCCAGGCCTGCAACAGCCTCTTCCACTGCCGAGACGGGGGCCGAGACGGCTTCATGGTGAGGGGCCGGGCCCAGCATGGCATCGTGGTGAGGGGCTCGGGGGCAGGACAGCTTCGTAGACGGTGACACGGCCAGCATAGCATCACAGTCGGGTGGGACAGCTTCATGGTGGTGGGGCGAGGATGCAAGGTCCGGTGGCTTTATGGTGGGCCTGGATGGGAGCCGGGGATGGGTCCTAGCTTTATGTGAACCTGACAGGGGTGGGAGGGTGGGTGGACTGGCTTCGGGGGAAGAGGCAAGGGTTGTGGGGGAAGGAGGGCATCAAAGACAGCTTCCTGGGGAGGGGACAGGGTCATCATGAGTCCCTGGGTGCCACTTGTGCTCCTTGGTAGGGAGCAGGTGGGCGGGTACCCCCCTGACTGGCCTCTGCCCTCAGGTGTCCCCCATGAAGCCCCTGGAGATCAAGACCCAGTGTTCAGGTCCCCGGATGGACCCCAAAATCTGCCCGGCGGACCCCGCCTTTTTCTCCTTCATCAACAACAACGACCTGTGGGTAGCCAACCTGGACACTGGCGAGGAGAGGCGCCTGACCTTCTGCCACAGAGGTGAGGGCCCCTCAGCCCCACCCCGCCAACACTCATCCAGGCTCCCTCCTTCCCTGACCTTGTTCTTCCCCGCCTGTCCCCTCCCGGCCCCCAGGGGGACCCCTGGTGGCACCCCAGACCCTCATAGCTGTTGTGGCCAGCTGCTGGTCCCCTGTCCCTGTGGAGAAGGTCCAGGGTGCTGAGCTTCATCTGGGGTCCCTCCTGGAGGGCTCCTAATTCCGCTCGTCAGAGCTGTTGGGCTGATGCCAACCCCCAGCCACTGCGTCTGGTCCTGGAGTGGCCCAAGAGCCCTCTGCTGCCCTCTGCCCACAGTGCTGCTGCGGTGCGGGGCCTGGGCTGCTCTGCTCCTCGGGAGCAGCCGCGCCACCAAGGCCTCCCAGTGGCCAGGCTACCGCTTCCCTGCAGGTCTCTCCAATGTCCTCGATGACCCCAAGTCGGCCGGGGTGGCCACTTTTGTCATCCAAGAGGAATTCGACCGGTTCACTGGGTACTGGTGGTGCCCCACAGCCTCCTGGGAAGGTAAGCCTTTTTCTCCTCTCTGTCTTTAATGGCAAGACTTTGGTTGGTTTGGTTTTTTTGGCAAATTTTGGGTTCCCAGGAAAATTGATCACAA